TTTTTCTTTTTCTTTTTCTTTTTTTCATTACTTTTGTATATTTTGCACTATCTGTTAATGGTTCTTTTCTTTCAAATACAAGTGCACCTTTATTTCTTTCTGTGGTTCCACTCAAGCTACCCAAGTTCCCTCCTTTTTAGTACTTATTCTTGTGATTCAAGTACTTTCAAAGGTAAAAGGTTTAACACAATCAATTATAAATAAAAGGATATAGGCTTTGTAGATATCAAAATTTGGACCGATCAAGCTAAATCTAAAATTCAAGATGAAATCCTAGGAGTCTATTAGGGGTGCTTGGAGGCTAATCTACCATAAATCCTAACTCATACATATATAAAAGGATACATATTTTCTTGAAGAAGCGTCTCGAAAATTCCATAAACTCTTGGGATATTCACAAAGAGATCAAAATATGGCCGGATACTTCTTGATAATCAAGCTGGAGATCAAATACATCCCATGAGGTTTGCGTCATCCTACGTTCAAGAAATACGATGCTTCAGCCCTCGAATCACGGAGATAATCAAGATAGAAGAATCAACGGAGAAACAGAATTATACTCACAATTGATTAGTAAATATATTTTTCTCTTATTTTGTGATTGCAGTTTGTTTTTTGTATCACGAAAAATTTGTTGCAAACATGCTTATAATGCATGTGCCAAAGAAAAGGTTTTCAAGCTCAAAAGGGATGAGTAGAGATAATTTTATCAATAGTAAGCAATAAATCTCAACTGCGTCAAAGAAGGACTAAATCAATACCTAGGATTTTACTTTAACTCGCACGCCAGACAAGTTCTAGACTCGAATGCAAAGCATGAACTGTATAAAAGGCTCACTTCACACATTCTCACTAAGGATGGTACCCTTCTAACTCTCCAATCAAGCAAGTTTCTACAGAGCCACGGATATTAAGCATAAAGCACAAAGTAAACATGTGTCAAGAAAATGAGCATAGACGTCTGTCACGACCCCAAATGCCACTAAAGAATGCCTAACATTACATGCTAGGCAAGCCAACATCCAATAAGCAGGAATAAACTTAAATAATAGGAATAAATAGCCTCAATAGTAGAATAATCATAAATAACTGAAGTCAATGGCAATAACACAAGTGAAACCATCCCATAATCCGGTTTCAATGAGTACATGAGCGCTACAGAGTTCAAATATAGATTTTGATCCCAAATATAAGATTGTCTGAAAGATAGAAGTAATAACATAAACTAAGAGAAAAGGGATTTCAAGGTCTGTGATTGGAACAATAACTACCTCAAAATCTCCAAAAAAAATGATACTGGTGCCACACCTTAGCAATCACCCCTCTCAGAAGCACCCGAATCTTGACATAAAGTACAGAGTATAGTATGAGTAAAATCGATTCCATGTACTCAATAAGTAACAAGCCTAATCTCGAGTTGAAATCAATGACGAGCTCGGCAAGGTCCAATATTCAAATTCAATCATGAATAACAATAATAATGGTATAATAACGGAAAAAAGGAAAGCATGTTCGGCCTCTTCACAATAAGATAAGAAATAAGCATGCTTTTCAAGAATAACAGTTAAGACATATTTTTTTCTACAGAAATCACTTAAATATGGTTTTATTAATTTAACGGTGATTTCAAGTTTAACACATCAAATAGAGATATCAAGTACCAATAAGCATGAGGGAAGAGACACGTCCCGATACCTGCATGACAAGTATGCATGCCAGTATCAATAATATCGCAATTAAATCAACAAGTATATCAAATCTTAGCATATATATAGTGCCTGCCAAAATATCCCTTCATTCCACACACACAACAACGCTCAGAACTGTATGGGTGCCTAACACAAGTCCCTCACCAAGAACATATATGACCCATATGCCTGCACCCACAAATTATTACTTGACTCTAGAGGAACGAGTCCTTGCGTAAGCGCTGATCAGATCTAAGTCAACGATTAATATCACTTAGCGCAATATGGGACCTAGCGTATGCTTCACCTTACTATCAATGCCACTTAGCACAATGAAGGGCATGACGTATGCATCACCTGACTATCAGTATCATATCGGCTCTATGGACCAAGATCAGCCATCAACCGCTCAAGTCTCAAGTATTCACATCTCACAACACTCAGCTCAAACTGTGTCACACATATAAGGGCATCAACAATATGTAGATAACAATAATGTGCGCCTAGAGACAGAGATATAATATACGTCTATAGCATCATGACTGAGAATATGACTACAATTAAGGCAAACAACTCAATATAGCAAGATAGCCCTATCAGATAGAGAAATATGTGTGGGGGGGGGGGGGGGGGGGGTTGTGTTGGATTTTAAAAAGTGAATAATTGAGATTTGAACCCTGATTTGGAATCAGATTTGGATGAAACTTATATATTTGGATTTGTATTCAAATGCGAAGTCGGTATTTGTTAGTTTTGTTTGGTTCCAAAAAGCGATCCGGGTTGACGTTGTGTAGTTGAATAAAGATTGAAGCTTTATTGTTTGGAATCGATTTCTATAGCCTTGTTTGATGTTATTGAGTTATTTTTTATAACACAATACAAGGAAGAAATACTACCATTTATAGGTATAAAATTTCTTTCATAGAATAAGTAACAACGAAGTGAGATAATAAAATTGTAGAACATGGTTGGTTGTTATAAAATTTAACTTTTAGTGGATAATTAGTGGTACATCATGGACACGAGTTACACCAAAGATAATGATCACTTTCTTGTCAATTTATAGCTACTAACATTACAAGAAATAATACACTTTAATATTATAATTTTAATATTAAAATACATATAACACTAACATGGGGGAACCACACCTGCACTCCTATATGGAATTTTTTCATTGGTGGAACTCAACTCAAAACTTTTGATTAAAAATATAGGGTTCACATTCATCTTACTGCATTCCTTAGAGTAGAACCGAAGAAATGGAGGTTAGCAAAGTATTTAGGAGTCGTTTGATACACAGGATCAGGTAAAATAAGGTGTAAGATTATTACTTTTTTGGTAAATAAGAATTTTATTACCAAGTAGCAATATTTACAACTCATCTAAACTATTACAAAATTTGTCTAGCATATCACCAACTGGACATGAAGCCCCAGTAAGGTGATATCTAGCATTCCCTTCTCCTAAAACTCCATCAACTTCCACTACTATTCTATTCTAACTAATTTCCAGATACCAGTTCAAAGTAGTTATCACCTTATCTAGATAAGGGAACCTTGCTGCCCTTATGTGCACTTCCTGGATAATATGCTTGATTAAAGAAGTGGTTGTCCTTCTCTTCTTATGAAAAATCACAAAATTCCTCTCTTGCCAACAATGATACACTGTTGCTGCTAGTGTCATTCTGCATATAGCTGCTCTTGCACTCTTGCCTTTAGTCGTCTTCACCATCCATGTAATCTCATCCTGCTAGTTGTTGTATGATCTTTGAATCCCTTGCCATCTCAGCAGACCATTCCATATCTTCCCTGTAATCTCACACTTGAAAAATATATGTTGCACTGTCTCATTTTCCTTATTACACAGAGAGCATGTTTGATCTATATCTATCCCCCATATTTCCAGCCTATCTTTGGTAGCTAGCCGTTGTTGTATTGCTGGTCTCAATATGAATATCCATTTTGGTTGTCCTTGGTTATTGCACACTAGTTTCCTCCATGTTACTTTTTGAAATACACCTTGTAATGATCTGTAGAGTCCCCTGATTGAGTATTTATCCATTTGTTGGACATCATCTTCATTCATTCTAGCCTTTGTAAAATACTCCTTAGCCCGAAATATCTTCTGAATTGCCCAAGAAACATTCATTGGTTCTACACTCCACACTGCTTGCCCTTTGACATAGTAAGTGTGTATCCAATGCACCCATAGCTTCTCCTTTCTAGTACATATATTCCATAGCAAATTGCAAATAGCAGCTTCATTCCGTAGTGCCACATCTATAAAGTTCAATCCCCCTGCAACCTTAGGTGAGCAAAGTCTTTCCCAAGCTATCAAGGCCTTCTTTGTTGGTTCAGCATCTCCAGTCCACAGAAACCCTCTACAGATGGTCTCTATGAACTGTATAACCTTCTTAGGCAGTATAAATATATGTGCCTAGAATGTTTGAATGACAAACAGTACACTCTTTACTAGGACTGCTCTACCTGCATATGACAAATACTTTGTTGTCCAGTTCTGAATTCTGTACAATATTTTCTCAATTAGTGGCTCACATTGTATAGTAGATAGTCTCTTGGTACTCAATAGAACCCCTAGATATCTGAAAGGCAATTATTCTTTTTTATAACCAAGAATCTCCATAATTTGTTGCTGAGTCGACTGATTCACCCCTCCAAATAGATGCAACTCTTATTTGGATTAGCAACCAATCCTGATGCTGCAGAGAATTTCTGAAAATGTTGATGCAGTATCTGCACAGGTTGCATATCACCTCTACAAAATAATAATAAATCATCTGCAAACCCCAGTTGTACTAAGTTAAACCTGGTACACCTGGGATGATATTTAAACTTCTTGTCTTCCTTTAGAGTCTTCAATGACCTGCTCAGGTATTCCATAGCCAAGACAAATAAGAAGGGTGAAAGTGGATCACCTTGCTTGAGCCCACTTTTTTTGTCTCAAAAGATCTGTTGGTCTACCATTTATTAGAACTGAATAAGTCATTGTTCTGATGCAAGCCATTATCCATCTCACAAAGATTTTTGGAAAATTCGGTAACCTTAACACTTGTTCTATGTACATCCACTCCACAGAGTCATATGCTTTTTGCATGTCAATCTTAAGAATACATATAAAGGAGATACTCTTCCTTCCATAACCTTTCACTAGCTCATGACTCATCAAAATGTTATCTGTGATCATCCTTCCAGGTACAAAAGCAGCTTGACAATTATCCACCAGTCTATCCATCACCCATTGCATTCTTGTGGTTATCACTTTAGAGATGAGCTTATATAGAACTATACATCATGAAATATGTCTAAAGTCTCTTATGTTTGTTGGATTCTGGATTTTTGGAATCAGTGTGATTGTTGTGCAATTAATGGCTTTACACATATCAGCACTCTCAAAGAAATCTTGAACTGCTGCAGTTATTTCTTCTCCCACAATGTGCCATGTCTTCTTAAAGAAGTAGGATTTATACCCATCACACCCTGGTGCCTTGTTGTCATAAGTGCCCAATAAAGCTTGCTTCACTTCTTCCCTGCCGACTGGTCTAATTAACTGTAGTTGTTGACTCCTACTCAACACATTGCCATTCTTCATTATGTCATAGTTGATCATTGGTAGCTGTGTAGCTGAACTACCAAGTAACCCCCTATAAAAATTTAGAATTTCTGCCTTCACCTCTTCAGGATTTTGCACTATATCCCCATTACTGTCAGTTAACCTGCCAATGTTGTTCCTTGCTTGTCTATTTTTCACACAAGCATGATAAAAAGCTGTATTAGAATCTCCCAAATTAAACCACTGTACTCTGGACTTCTGTATCATAATACTGTCCTCCACCATTAGCCATTTCTCCAGCTCCAATTTAGTAGTTCTTTCCAATTCAATCTGCATTTCTCTTTGATCAGGACAACTCATTTGGTTCTATATACTTTCTAGTCTTTCTCTAGCATCATGTATCTTACTATCAATGCCATTGAACTCCTCTTTATTCATCTGCTTCAGTAACACTTTTAACTTCTTAAGTTTGTTCCAAAATGTCAACATTGTTTGTTTGTTTTTCCCAATCTCCCAACCTATCTACACTCTACCTTCAAAAATCTTCAAGTTTACCAGGCAGTTCAAGAACTTGAAAGGTTTCCCTCCAACTTGGCTACTTGTATCAAACTTCACACTTAGAGGGCAGTGATCAGAGAATCCAGGGTTCATAGACACCCCCTCCATATTAGGTCATATTTGTATCCATTCAGCATTTACCAGAATTCTATCAATCCTATTGTGCACATGGTTATTAGTCCATGTGTATTGTCTTCCCACTGTCTTCAATTCATCTACCTTAGCATCCACTAAAAATTGTTTAAATTCCCTTGTTTTCATCTCCTGTACAGGACTACCATTGAATCTATCTTCACTTGTTAGAATTATATTGAAGTCCCCCATTATAAGGCAAGGACTCCTCATATTGACCACTGATATTAGCATCTCCTCCCATAGATTATTCCTGTCTTGCACTGTATGCTTACCATAGACAACACATAGGTGAAATTGAACATTCTGCTGTAATATTTTTACTAAATTGTTTATGATGTCTAGTCATTGCATAGTCCACCAATGTAGAATCCCATGTAACCCATATTCTACCCCCGGGAGCCTCATCATAGTTATCTACCCATTTCCAGTTTTTCAGAGCTTTCCTTAACAAAAAGTCAGCATTACTTTGCTTCACTCTATGCTCAATTATTGCTATCAATACTACATTATTAATTCTGCAATTTTTTTTAGTTCTTTTTGTTTGTACACCTTATTCAGACCCCTTACATTCGATGTAATAAATTTCATCATGATATAATAGGTAAAATTGGAGGTCCACCCCTGTCTTCCTTGTTATGCATTCCTTTTGCACCTTGAGCTTCAGACATTTGAACAATTTTTTGAGCAGTATCAACCAGAGCTTTGAATGCATTGCCAATATCCACTTCTTTCTCCCTTATCACATCTGTGTGCTTCTTAGTTGCAGATCTCCCTCTAGCTATTTGCCATTGTGCTTCAACCTCTGAGTTACTATTTTGTATAACTGCTTCTTCCTCCAGTTGTTCATTAAATCTCCCTTGTGTATCAATTTTATCAACCTTAGGATCAAGTGCTCTAACTTTTCTCCATTCCTACTTTTGCTTCCCTTCCACATTTTTCCTCACTTCATCCTGTCTCAGCTTCCTTTGATCCTTACATGTATGGCTAAGTTGACAGCATTTCTAGCAATATATTGGTTTCCAGACGTGGTGTACTAATTGTTCCAACACCTTTCCTTTTGGATCACAGAGCTTTATCTTCTCTGGTAATGACCTAGTAACATCCATCTCTATTAAAATCCTTGCATATGAAATTCTCTCAGCAATAGTTGTACAAGCATCAACATATATTGTCTTTCCCAAACCACTTTCTATCTTACTTAACGCTTGATTACTCCAAAGGTTAAGTGGTAGATTTGGAAGCTTGATCCACAGAGGGATAGTCCTCTGAATTTCTTCATTAAAATCAAAATTCTCCGACCATTGCCTCATGATAACTAGCCTATTATTAATTGTATAAGGACAATTCATTAGCACCATCTCTTTCTCTTCATTAGTACTAAGCAGGGCTATGAAATATCCATCATTATGAAGCAACATCTTAGGTTTCTGCACACTTGCCCATTGATTAGTGATGAACCTTTCAATGACACCGATTGAAGGTGTATTCCCCACCACATACAATATTACTACTCTATTTCATTTTACATTTTCCTCTACAATGTCTTCCTCCATCAGTTGCACAACTACTTCACCATCCTTCATTGTCGGGGGTATATAGTTGAGATTCATACCTTTTGCAGCTAACTTGTTCTCCTGGAGTAACCCCGACCATGATCGACCCTTATCAACTGTTGGAATTGAGTTCTTCACTTGAGCTTCCTTTTGATTATCCACAGAAATATCCCTCTGTTCCTTGCTTGAGCTTGCATGTACTGTTCCATTGGATTTTGCCTCACTCGAGCTGGGTTGCTCACTTGCAACCCTAATTTCGCTATTTCCTTTGCTCATGTTCTCCGTCAGTGCCAACTTCCTGCTCGAATTCACTAGTGTTGTAGCTTGATTCCGATAGTTGTCTAGATCTGGCCAGTTATCGTCACTATTATTTTCCTGTTCTCTTTCCTTCTCCTGGATTTGATCCTTAGCTTTGGCCTTACCTTTCCCTTGTTTAATCGATCTAGTCATCATAATCTTCTAATCTAGTATTGGTACTTTGGTGGTATTCCTCCTCGGCCGTCCTCTTCATCTCATTTCCGATGAAGGCGCAGGTTAGTCAGTCACCTAACGTGCGCCGAGAGAGAACATGTGCTTTATTGTGACTTTACTATTATAATATGTAAAGTTAAACTATGATGTGAGATTAAATTTATACTGTATTTGATTGATAAAATAATTTATACCAAACGACCCCTTAAAAATTCTAAAGTGAATCGTAGCTAAAAATCTACGGGGGACTTAGGTGCATTTTAATTCTTTAGGGGCCATTAGGTACACCATAGTTTTAAAGAGCCGGTGCATTACACTGGATATTAGGGCTGGATGGTGAAGCGCCACCTTCTCTACCTGTAATTTTTGCAACTCCCTTGCCTTGTTCTTAGACACCTGATTGAATATTCCAAAAATGGTTTTCTTAGGGGATCTATAGAATTCCTTTCCACGCTTTTTCTTGGAGTTTTAAAAAATTCGTTGGAATATTTCGATCCGGCTTTCACTTTTGCCTTTGCTCTTTCTTTGTCCAATCATATTATAAAATAGCAGATGTTCCCAATCCATTAAAAGGACAGGACCCTTTTGCATTTTAAGCTATGGGGCATTAGAAAAAAAACACAATAACCATTCTCTGATTTTTTTTTTTAACCTTCGTGGGGTCTTGCTAGATGTGTGGGAGGGCATTTTTTCCAGTATCGTTATGATAAGAAGGAGAAGTAATAATTGGATTCGTCCTTTAATGGCAATAGCATCTACCTTTTCTGTTGTCCCTAATGATTTTCAGCTTTTGTCATGTGTAAAGTTTTTATCTACTACCATTGATTCACATGGTGGTGGTGGTGTAGGAAAATACCCTTTTAACAATGCTACGGCTCTCAGGCTTTGGGGCTGCTGTTCTTCTTCTTCTTCTAATGATTCAAATACAAGTTGTAACAATAAGTATGTGAATGGGTTTCAGAGGGCACATGCTTTTGCTCCATCTCTCCCTCTCTTGCTACATGATGATGCAGAGGGAGCTAGTACTAGTAATGCTACTAAGCCTTCTGATACTAACAGCATTACATCTAACAGAGGAAGCTGTGCTGGATTCGTTAACCAGGATTTACATGACAAAATTGTTGTGGCTGTTGATGTTGATGAAGGTATTTGAAAATGAAAAAAAAAAGCTTCTTTCTTGTATTTCTAGATTGCAAGGAGTGCGATGTGTGGGTTAGGCATCAGCTTGTGATGTGTGGGTTAGATGCACATCGCTTATCCATGAGTATCGAACCGGGCGCCCTCAGGGATTTTCTAGTTACCTAAAAAAGGGAAGAAAAAGAAAGATTGTAATGATTGTGGTCCGTCTTCAATTCTTTCATTCCCTTGCCTTATTTGTGTTAACAGGCATTATGTGTTAACAGATATCTGAGATCATTGCAGTCACTATAATAAATCTCCTAAAAGTACATTATGAACATTTTTGCATAGTTCTGTAATCATGCTTATCTAAAACATAAGATTTTGGCGATCCTCTGTCATTTGCAAGAGGGTTGGCTGTTCTGATCTTTCTTTCACCGTCTTTTACTTGTAATTATCTCTTCTTCTTTTTTGTGTTACTGTCTCTAACATAAACTGATGGTATGTGCTTTTTTGTCATCCTTATTTTTTTATTTGCTGGTTTGCAGTCCTTGGGAACTTTGTTTCAGCTCTCAACGAATTTATTGCAGATCGTTACTCATCATACTATTCGGTGTCTGAATATCATGTTTATGAATTTTTCAAGGTACCATGCTTCAACTTTGTCTTGCATATTCCTTTGGATACCACAAGATGGCTTTGACTTTTGCTGCTTTTCTTTGCTTTTTACCTTTGACCACTCTGAATATAAGACTAGTTTCACTGAGCTATGAATGATCCAATTTATGATAGTTGCCTAACGTGCACTGTTAAACAACTAATAGCATGGGAGACAGAAAATGAGGGTTTACCACAGCTGATAAAAAACGGACTGACTGGATGGAGATTTATGTGATTAAAGATTCAGTGCTTTAATTGGAATGCATATACAAATATCTTCCAGTAGTTTGATATCCAATTCAGTTTGACAGGGCACAGTTTTTAGAAGAAGAGTTGTAACGTGATTTGTTTACTATTGGTTATGGGAAATGGCTAATATATTTGCTTTTGTATTTTTAAAGATAAAAATAAAGAAAAGTGGGAGTACAAAATCTCCTTGTCCCTGATCAAAGAATAAAGAAAAAGTGGTACTAGAAAGAATAATTATGATACTGGACACAATTTTGAGAAATTTGTGAAAGGGAAGTAGAACTATTCTTTTTATAGGACAGATGGATGAGAAGATACCATATCAAACCGAGTGTTAAAGTGAGAGTTCTATCCCATTCTCATGGTGGACTTGCTTCCCCCCCCCCCCCCCCCCCCCCCCCCGCTCTCTCTCTCTCTCTCTGAATACAAAATTGATAGATACAGGAAGAAAAGGCGGCCAAAAAAGGTACTAAGATTAAAGGGTCTGATGTCAGTAGAAGGAGAAGGGAGTGATAGGTGAATAACAATTCAACATGAGCACAGGAAGGGCGTTCTTTCAAGATGCTGGGCAGATACACTAAAGATGACAAAAACAGTGTTGGGATTGTGGTACTTGTTATGATGGAGCAGCAAGGATATTTAGTTAGTGCGTTATGTATGTAGCTGGATTACACGATTTGATAATATCCTTAATGGTAGTGGATGAGAATACACTACCTATAACTGGATGCGAATGTGGTCGATAGTACTAAAATGGGTGATTTTGAACAGCAGAATTTGGCATACATATGACAACTTTTGGGAGTCTCTTGGGGTGAAAGTGAAAAGATGGCAAGGAGTCATGACAAATTTATGTACGATGGGTATAGACTGATAAAGAGAACAACAAAAAGAGATCAAGTACAAGACAACAACATGAGTTAACACCTATGTTGCACGGTCTCTCAAAAATGCTGCCTCACCCGTGCCTGATCCTTCAAAATTGTACTATTTTTGGAGGATCCGACACGCACCTAACGACATTTTCGGAGAGGCCTAGCAGCATAGGTTAGAACTACTAAAATGTGGTTTGACTTATGCTAGTCGGAAAGCAAGGGAAAAATGTTTTATTTTTGGATCAAGAAAAGTAGATTGTGCTGCAAGATAGTGTTCTTTGGTAGTTGGGTGATTTTGGGTTCTGTGTTCTTGTTGTTTTGTAAGTATGCTTGTATGCAAGTCTATTGCCTCTACTTGTAAATGGTCCTCCGCTTGAGTGCTAATTAGTATTAACAATTAATTCACTTTTACCTATCAAAAAATGAATAAGTAAACATAGAAATGGTAGTGCAATGTACAAAAAGATGCCCCAACTGTGGAGGTATCACTTGTTTGGTTACCTTAGTATATCCCTTCTCCTGTAACTTTTGTGCTTTTCTAAGCTACCATTTCTCTAATCATTGCAGATATGGAAATGCTCAAGAGATGAAGGTATTATTGGGTCTTTCCTTTCAGTTGAGTTATTTAGGTAGAGGCAAATATTCCAAGGTTTTTTTCCAGCTTTTGTTCTCTTTTTATTCATTCATTTCTAGAGTGGAGGCATTAGGCATACTCTTCTTTTCTGATCTTCCTGATGAAGTATAGCTGACATAATTTCTCGAAGAAAAAAGTAAAGCTGATATTGGGGGTCAAGTTTAGCTTAAGTAAGATTAATTCTATATTGGTCATATCATTGTGACGAAGTTCCTTTTTTCCCCCTAATAGGCTATTAGGACTACGTTTCTTCTAACTGCTGTGACTGCAGTTCAATTTTCGAGTACAGTTACTCTTCTTTCTTTCTTCATCTTTTGGGCTAGTTGGCCCATCTCCTCTTCTGCAGTTTTTGCCTTTGCCTTCTCCTCTCTCTTTTCTCTTCTTCTTTGTCTTCTGCTTCTTTACTACTGCTTCTTCTCCTGCTCCACTTTTTCCTCCCCTATTTTGGATCAACCCTGCATCTTTTTGTCTTCTCGGATGCTTCTACTTCTGCTCTTCTTGCCTTTGTTCCTCTGGACAAGTATCTCTTGTCTGGTGCTTTGCTAATGTATTGTTTTGCTGTACTATTGTTTCCTGCTCTGTTACTGCTGCTGCACTTCATTTTAATTGGCATTTATCATACTTTGACTATGGAAACGACTTTAATTGGCAATTGAAATTGATAAAATTGGAATAAACCAACTGCTTGCTATTTGTTTTTTAGTGAGGTAAAAATTAATAGGTGTTGATTGCTGCAATTGATTTAAACATATGGCATCACATTAATTTGATCTAGATGCTTGATGCATTCTTTTAGTTTATGGATGAGATATTTGTGTATCTTATACAAGGTTATGCATTTCTTCTATTGGTGCTTTCTTTTCAGTAAATTGGTCCGCTCCTTCCATAAAAGCCCTTGAGACCTCATTGCCTTTCCGCTTGTTGCTTTTGTATGCAGTGGTTTGACCTGCACGACATCTGTGACTAAACATTTCTGTTTTTAACCTTACATAATTATTTTGACAGCTGATATCCGTGTCCATGAATTCTTCAAGACCTCTTATTTCAAGACGGGAATTCATCCAATTCCCGGTGCTCGACAGGCTCTTCAAAAGATGTCTAGATTCTGTAACCTGTCAATTGTAACGTACGTAGTTTGAGGACCCTTTGGTTGCTTCAATTAATTGTTAACTTCCACATTGAGTATTTTTTTTAGAACTAATTTGACCAATATTCTGATAGGTCCCGGCAAAACGCCATTAAAGCTCACACAATTGAGTGGATTGAGAGGCATTATCCTGGATTGTTTCAGGATATGCACTTTGGCAATCACTTTGCACTGAATGGGCAGTCTATAGCTAAATCAGATATTTGCAGGTAATATCATCAGTCTCCTTAAGCATTCTGCTTTTATCTTTCTCTTTGTTCTATTTTTCTGCTATGCCTCGCCATTTTCAGATAATGTCATAAAGAAGCAGATTGTCACCCCCCCCCCCCCCACATTTTGGTATCTAGCTAGCTGACCATTGTCTATTCGCATAGAATATGGAATCTTTTGTATGTAAGCTGGTTGTACAAAGTTAGTTTGTTTATATTCCGGAATTTTTGTCTGTTTCATTATATTGTGTATTCTTGGACCTGTGAAACACTTTATATTCGCTGTTTGACTAACTTTATATAACTGCGTCTGCTAGGTCCTTGGGAGCAAATGTTTTGATTGATGACAATCCAAGGTATGCTATCGAGTGCGCGGAAGCTGGAATCAAGGTTCTTCTCTTTGATTATGAAAATTCATACCCATGGTCCAAGAGTGAGTCACTTAATGGGCATCCTATGGTTAAGAAAGTGCACAACTGGAGAGAAGTGGAGCATCAGTTAGTTTCATGGATAGTACCCAGGAATTCCTCTCCAAATTAGACTAAAAAAAATATGTATGATTTGTATTCTATTTGACTTCATATATTAAACCAATCGTAAACCTGCTTGAAGGCGATCAAAACGTGAAGCCTCAGCTATTAGAAGTTGGTAATCAGTAGAATAATCGTATCATCTTTTATTTTTTGTTCCATTTTGCCTTTCTACTCTGCACAGATAAAATCTTCCGACTTCAGAGTGTTAGTAGTAAGACTTCTTTATATAGGCTAAAGCTGACAGTCTCATTGTACTTGCAACCCATAAAGGTACACAATATTGCACAAATTCATTTCCCAGTTGACGTATGTGCTTCTGTTTTTGGTGATTGAATTGTTAGAACCTCGAAAAAATGCATATCGGTCGTAAACATGCCACAGGTTTCTGTGGCTAGAAAAGCACGTTATAGAGATAATTAAGATTTTTTTTTGAGAAGGTAACATATTTATATATCAATAAAAAGACTTCACTAAAAAGGTGAAGTCACCCATATTTACAAGGAAAGTGCCCAGAAAGAAAAATAAACATTAAATATCCTTGGTCATCTCACAAGGAATCTAGAACATCAAAAATGGATTCATGATCCTCCAACAACTTTCCTTTACACCAAAAATAGAAAAGCGCCAAACATTTCATCTTTATCTTCTAGATGTTACTGGACTTGTCTTCAAAACATCTTTGGTTTTCCCCTTCCCAAATTGTCCGCCATATGCATGCCGGAACAATTCTCCATCTCTCTTTATAACTAGTAATGTTGCCCTCTTTATTCCAACAATTTAGAACATCATTAATTCTTCCCGGCATTATCCATGAAATTCCTCGTAAGCTGATGAAGATTCTCCATATCTGTACAGTGAATTTACAATGCAAAAAAAGATGGCTAATTGTCTTTGACTTCTCTCCACATAAGTAACATCTAGAGCACAGGTGAAATCTCTTTTGATTAAGTTGTCTTGTGTTAGTATTGCTTCTTTTGCCAATAACCATGTAAAGCAAACAACCTTGTATGAAATTTTTACTTTCCATATCATCTTCCATGACCAACAACCAACCCGATTGTTTGACAAGTTGAATTCCTTGTAAGCAGATCTAACAGAAAACTTCCCCTGCCTATTCCTTTGCCATACGATAAGATCTTGATTGGAGTTGATACCACGAAATAGCTCCAAAGTATTGTAAATTAAGAAATTTAAGCTAAATTGTTTGCAAAGATAGAAAGATCACTTTCTTTTTGAAATGATTAATAAAGAAATAATACCACATAGAATGAAACAGAGATAGTATTAAACTATGAAGGAAGTGTATTGTTCCAGAATGAGCAACTGCTCGGACATAATAATAAAAATTCTTATATAATATACAGGACAGAATTAGAGTTATGTACATTAATGATATTGATTTCGCCTGCTGATTTACTAGGAGACAATTTGACACCCTTCAGAAAAAAGAATTTATTTTGATGTCAAGTTGGTCATACTGCAACCACGTTGTACAGACCAATTGTCTGTAAACATTATTCGATCTTCTCCAGCAACTTGAAACCATATGCTTCCAAGATATCCAGTGCTGCAAATTTTCAGAAAATGAGCTGCTATGTCACTAACCGTTTCTTTTATAACACAACCAGAGCTGATAAATGGTAAACACAGACAGACAATTTATCAGTTGTATGCTATGGTAACTGCTGATATTATAATAGAAGTAGACTGATTCCAACTAAAGCATATCTAAAGTTCATTGTTTTGCTTATTTACAACGCAAGTGACTGTCCTAATATTTTTGCTGAAAGGAAAGGGAGGATTGTTTTTTTTTTTCGTGGTGTGGGGGTGTTTGGGGGGCAAATAGTTGTACTTTCTTTTCCAACCCACAAGGAGAATACATGAACTTTAGAAAGTAAATATTACTCTATCGTGTAGGAGCTTTTTAAATTTTACTCTCATATATTGGCAAAAACAAAAAGAGAAGAAAACGGTAAAATATGTGTTCTAAACAAAAACCAAGAATGAAACGAGTGCTTCCCACACCCCCCCAACCCACAAGCCCAAGACAAATTAGAAATTAGTGAAGCTGAACTACCTGGCTCGAAAACTTCTGGATCAATAGGCCTTAGTACACCATTTGCTTTGATCTTGTTTGCAAGTAATAGCTGCAATGGGAAGAAAAGAGTAAACTACGGTTTCGTCCATAATACAGAGCTACTATGATCATTAGGCACAAGTTCAATAGAAGAATACCAGAGCTCCTGTGGCTGCGGGAATCCCTACTGTAAGAGACATGGCCATGTTGGTTTTCCCATTCGCTGTCCTCCCCATTTCCAAAAGTGTGGATCTATGGGTTTCAGCATGGCCGTCTGGGTAATCTACTACCACTTCATGGTGTAAAAGCACCATGTCCTAACACAAGTAACATCAGTGGTAAATCCAGGTCACTTGTTGCATGTTAGTTGGTTAAAAAGTAATTCTGAGAACTACCTGCTCTGTATTGGAGTATGCTAATCTCTCTTCCATGCGCAAGCACGTAACTTCAAATGGAGATTTGCAGGATGATGGTATTTCTGTAGGCTCTTGAAATTCCAAAAATCTATTTGAATATTAAGTAAACCCTTATCATTCAACCACAACCTTTTCTTTTATTAATTGAATAAAAACAGCATTTCACATTGTATACCAATATATTCGTTTAAAGAACATACACTTTAAATACTTCAAGTAGATAACTGATTGACCTCAGATAATTGTCTCAACTTACATTATAGTTTTTGCTGTCTTAACCGCAGTCTCCTTGTCTTTGCAAACCCCAAGTTCCAAGATCCTATCAGTGATGTATTTTTCATCAATTACTGGTTTGGGGAAAATCTGTCCGTCTATTCCAAGAAGTCCCAGCAAAAATGCTCTGTGTGTGGGTTTAATCCCATCTTTAAGAATAAGAGTTGATACTGTACTGAAGAATCCGAGCTTGGCAAGTGTCCCCATTATTTGACTAAAACCTGTGAAAAATATCAATCCATAAGATGTCAACCCAAAAATTTGATGACAAGAAAACAATCAAGTCTATTAGTCCCACCATCCCAAAGAATTATCCACTTTGTCATTTCAAAACATTATTTAGAAGCTACATGAACGACGTTAAAAGCTGAAGATGTTATCAAGTTCAAACTACGTACTATTTCGAAAAATTTGCATTCACTGTTAAAAGTTTTGAAGAGTCAACATAAATAAATATAAGCATTCCATCTCCAATAATTTAAACTTTTAGAGAGGATTGTTATTTTCATTTCCACATTCTTGATTTAAAGAAAAAGAATTAGGTGCTCCTATGTGAGTGGGATGTTCAAGACCTAAATAAAAAAATACAAGCTTTTAGATGTGGTGGTCACACATTTTAAGTCTGACTCGCCAAAACCATAAAGCAGATAACAATTTGAGAAGGCCGGTGTTTCAACTTCTTCTGAGCAATAATTTTTCCTTTTAATGCATTATATGGATGAAAATAAAATCTAAAAGTTATCTGTCTAAAGCTTTCCTTCAAGCCCTAGGTCAGACTCAAGTCTCTTTAACTGAAAGCGTTGTATGAAGCCCAGTAATGTGACATGCCTTCATAGCGTAGTGTTCCTCGAAAGATTGTTGATGCTTCCTCTCCTACACCATATAAGTCTCCATACACTAAAGAGTTGCGATTTGGGAGACACTCCAATGCAAAAGCTGGAAAATCAGGAAGACGAAGCTTTGCAGCTGAATCATAAAGCCTCTGACCTGCATTTAGAATATTGTTAGCGAAGCAAAAGCACATAAATGGCAACTACCTCCCATCCATGCCCCATAAAGGGTGGGGATAACTTAGGGAGATAACAGTTGGAACTTTGAAAAGCTAGTATTGTCATTATGGGAGATTAATAGCTATTAATATTGGCTGCAAGAGACCAAAAAAATCAGATGAGGACATAAACTCTTTAAGATTGTCAATGATACATAGGAACCTCTCATCTGCATATTACAGAGGCCAGTAGAAGTAGTTTTAGAAGTTTTTTTTAGAATTTTAGTACAATATACTTCTTCATGGGATGGATATCAAAAGCAGTTCCTATGCTAAATTACTCACCTTCAACATGAATAATTTCCCCTTGAGATCTATAGGCTGCTGGATTCCACCCAGCTCGTATGGCTCCGGCTGGATTCCAACTAAATATTGTTTCAACATAACAAAATTAATCGACGAGTAGGATGATTGAGATGTAAAATCAACAGAGTAAGAAGAATACTAACAAGTAAAAGATAACAGGGAGATAATATCTACTTCACTAATAACCAGAAAAATAAGACGCCACTAATTACCTCAAAATGGAATGCGGTAAACATCCGTGTGAATGTATTACGTTCAGAAGGTTAAGTGAATATAAATAGTAATCGGGTTTGTGTGTACATGGTCTTATGTTGGGAAGAGAAGCTACTCTCTAATTCAAAAGTTAGTTGAGACAGTTTAATCACTAAGGAAAAATGGAAATGCTGAAGCAGTTTGGAGAGGCCACTTTATGTGCTTTTGGTTAGCAAGAAGAGCCAATGAAGAAAGGAGAAAAGATACCCCATAGCTTTTTGCAAATATGTCATATAAAAAATTCTTCTCAATCAAGCTTCTCAATAATGACAAGATAACCTGATCGAATCAACACTCAACTGAACTTGAAGCCATACCTGAACTTATAAGCTAGTGGGTTGTTGGCAGCAGCTGGAGAGGGAAGACCACCGCAATAAGAAATGAAAGACCTGATCTTTCCCTTTGCTGCATGGGCTTGGTTGATCATTTTCATTGCCATCATGTGATCTACAACATAAAATAGGTACCACTAGTTAACCAAATATTGGTCAAAATATACTTGTTTTCTTAAGAAAGATTTAGACAAAAAATACAAATTTACAGCAGCAAATTTATTCTTCATCAGGCACTTATCTCAACAATTTTATATGATATAAGATGATTGGATATTTTTGTGTAAGAATTTCATTTTTTTGGTATACACCTTCTTAACGAGATTTCCCTTTTTTCTTTCAGTTATCAGGAAACAGTTACTAATCAAAAAACAGTAGTCTGCCTCAGGGTATCTTCAACTTTGATAAATGGTATACTTAATAACACTCACGGCATTTGGAGGACCATTCTTTG